ACATAAGCATCAAGGCCAAAAACATTTCTTGTATCATTATTTGTAGTGACAAACTGGGAACAAGCTAATGGTGGAATAAGGAATCAGGACTTAGTCATTCAGTGAGGTATTAGGCAGTAGCTTTCAAGAAATCAATAAGAGGGGAGCCTGGGTGGCTCAGTCAGCCCAAGTATCTGCCTTGGGCTCAGGTCATGATCCCGGGGTCCTGGGATCGAGCCCCATGTCTGGCTCCCTGCTCAGTGGGGAGTCTGCTTCTCTGTCTCCCTCTGCAGCTCTCTGCGTGTCAAATAAATAAAATCTTTTTTAAAAAAGTAATTATACTTGAATATTGGAAAGGGGTCTAGATACTATTAAATCAAAAAGTTGCTGAGTTTTACACACACACACACACACACACTCCCATTCCCTCCCTTTGCCCTAGAATTTTTCTCAGTCTTTTTTTTTTGTTTGTTTATTTTTTTTATTTTATTTTATAAATTAATTTTTATTGGTGTTCAATTTACCAACATACAGAATAACACCCAGTGCTCATCCCGTCAAGTGTACCCCTCAGTGCCCGTCACCCATTCACCCCCACCCCCCGCCCTCCTCCCCCTCCACCACCCCTAGTTCATTTCCCAGAGTTAGAAGTCTTTATGTTCTGTCTCCCTTTCTGATATTTCTCACACATTTCTTCTCCCTTCCCTTATATTCCCTTTCACTATTATTCATATTCCCCAAATGAATGAGAACATACACTGTTTGTCCTTCTCCGGTTACTATGGCCAAGTTCAAAAAGGGTGTTGCCTGAGTTCTCCTCTGGGATTTTGATGGAATCTTGTCTCACATTTAGATCTTTCATCTATTTTGAGTTTATCTTTGTGTATGGTGCAAGAGAGTGGTCCAGTTTCATTATTCTGCATGTGGATGTCCAATTTTCCCAGCACCATTTATTGAAGAGAGTGTCTTTCTTCCAGTGGATCGTCTTTCCTCCTTTATCGTATATTAGTTGACCATAAAGTTCAGGGTCCACTTCTGGGTTCTCTGTTCTGTTCCATTGATCTATATGTCTGTTTTTGTGCCAGTACCACACTGTCTTGATGATCACAGCTTTGTAGTACAACCTGAAATCTGGCATTGTGATGCCCCCAGATATGGTTTTCTTTTTTTAAAATTCCCCTGGCTGTTTGGGGTCTTTTCTGATTCCACACAAATCTTAAAATAATTTGTTCTAAGTCTCTGAAGAAAGTCCATGGTATTTTGATAGGGATTGCATTATACGTGTAAATTGCCCTGGGTAACATTGACATTTTCACAATATTAATTCTGCCAATCCATGAGCATGGAATATTTTTCCATCTCTTTGTGTCTTCCTCAATTTCTTTCAGAAGTGTTCTATAGTTTTTAGGGTATATTTTGAGAACCATTTGAATGGTAAATGGTTCTCCAACCTTTTATTTTCAGGTTGTAGGTGTCCTTCTGTCTAAAATGAGTCTCTTGTAGACAGCAAATAGATGGGTCCTGCTTTTTTATCCAGTCTGAAACCCTGCGCCTTTTGATGGGGTCATTAAGCCCATTCACGTTCAGAGTTACTATTGACAGATATGAGTTTAGTGTCATCATGATATCTATTTAGTCCTTGTTTTTGTGGATTGTTCCACTGAACTTCTTCTTAAAGGGGAGTTTTAAGAGTCCCCCTTAAAATTTCTTGCAGAGCTGGTTTGGAGGTCACATATTCTTTCAGTTCCTGCCTGTCTTGGAAGCTCTTTATCTCTCCTTCCATTTTGAATGAGAGCCTTGCTGGATAAAGTATTCTTGGTTGCATGTTCTTCTCATTTAGGACCCTGAATATATCCTGCCAGCCCTTTCTGGCCTGCCAGGTCTCTGTGGAGAGGTCTGCTGTTACCCTAATATTCCTCCCCATGAAAGTCAGGAACTTCTTGTCTCTTGCTGCTTTAAGGATCTTCTCTTTATCTTTGGAATTTGCAAGCTTCACTATTAGATGTCGAGGTGTTGAACGGTTTTTATTGATTTTAGGGGGGGATCTCTCTATTTCCTGGATCTGAATGCCTGTTTCCCTTCCCAGATTGGGAAAGTTTTCAGCTAGGATTTGTTCAAATACATATTCTGGCCCTCTGGCCCTTTCGGCGCCCTCGGGAACCCCAATTAAACGTAGGTTTTTCTTCCTTAGAGTGTCATTTATTTGCCTTAATCTGTCTTCATGGTCCCTTAATTGATTGTCTCTTTTTTCCTCAGTTTCCCTCTTTGCCCTCAACTTGTCTTCTATGTCACTCACTCGTTCTTCCACCTCGTTAACCCTCGTCGTTAGGACTTCTAGTTTGGATTGCATCTCATTCAGTTGATTTTTAATTTCTGCCTGATTGGATCTAAATTCTGCAGTCATGAAGTCTCGTGAGGCCTTAATGCTTTTTTCTAGAGCCACCAGTAGCTGTAGAATAGTGCTTCTGAATTGGCTTTCTGACATTGAAGTGTAATCCAGATTTTGTAGCTCTGTGGGAGAGAGGACTGTTTCTGATTCTTTCTTTTGAGGTGAGGTTTTTCCTTCTAGTCATTTTGCTCAGTGCAGAGTGGCCAAAAACAAGTTGTGTTGGAACACGGGGGAGTATCACTGGTCCGTCCAGCTGGTCTTCTGGGGGAGGGGCCTGCTGTGCTGATTTTCAGGTGTTAGCACTTGGGGGAGCTGCTCTGCCCCTGCCTGCTGCAGGGCTCAGCGGGGGTTGTTTACCCCGCCAGGCCCCAGGAGGAACAGCAGCAGTTGCTATGGCAACTCTGGAAGCCTGGATTCAGCCTCCGCAGGAACTACGGGGCTCGGGGCTCTCGGTTCTCCGTCTGCAGGGCCTGGAGGCTCCGGGGCGGGGCCGCTGATCTGCTCAGCTCGGGGCAGGAGCGTCCTCGCTGTCCTGGGCCCTCCCGGCCTCTGCCTGTCCCGGGGGAGGCCGGATCCTGGGCTGTGTCCCGGCGCCCTGTGCTCCGGGGCCTGCGCTGGTGGATTCGCGCTCCCGCCCCGCAGCCCCCTCCGCGGAGCCGCCGCCCGAGCCCCTCCGAGCTGCTCCGGTCGGTCCCGCCGTGCGCGCTGCAGCCCTTAGGGAGCTCGGAGCACTCTCCTGCGCTCGCAGGTGCCTGTTAGTGTCCCCGGGAGCCCGAGGGCATCCCCGCCCTCCTGGGTCCTGCTCCAACTCCCTGCGAGCCCCTTTCCGCCCGCCCGGGAAGGTTGGTGCAGCTCCTGCTCCTCCGGGACGGGGACGGGACGGGGCTCTCCTGTCCTGGGGACACTCGCCCCGGCCTCAGCCCGGCTCCTCGCGGGGCCCCTCCCCCTCGGAGGCCTTTTGCTCCTTTATTTCTTTTTCCCCGTCTTCCTACCTTGATAGAAGCGTGAACTCTTCACACTGTAGCGTTCCAGCTGGTCTCTCTTTACATCTCAGGCCGAATTCGTAAATTTTCAGGATGGTTTGGAGGTTATCTAGGTAATTTGGTGGGGACAGGCGATTTGGGGACCCTGCTCTTCCGCCATCTTGCCCCTCCCTCAATTTTTCTCAGTCTTAAAACGGAATAAAATCCTGACGTACTTCAACGCGGATGAATCTTGAAGACATTATGCTAAGTGAAGTAAGCCAAACTCAAAAGGACAAACACTGTATAATTCTATTTAGGTGAAGCACCTAAAATAGTCAAAGCCATAAAGAAAGCAACACCGTGGTTACTAGAAGCTGAGGGAAGGGACAATATTTACTGGGTACAAAGTTTCAGTTTGGGATGATGAAAACATTCTGGAGAGGTTTAGTGTTGATAGTTGGGCAATAACGTGAATGTACTTAATGCCACTGAATTGTACACTCGAACATAGTTGAAATGGTAAATTTTGTGTGTATTTTAACACAATGTAAGAAACCAAAATGGTATGGATCTAAAGGTGGACAACTAGATCAATGGGGGGGGGGGAGAGGAGAGCACAGAAAGAGACCCGTGAAAGCTTGGTCTATGATAGAAACATTAAAATCATCCCCATCTCACATCACACATAAGTCAGAGTTGAATGATCCCATCAAACTATGAAAGGCCAAACTTCAAACCTTTTAGGAAAAATGTATGTGGCACTATCTGCCTCGTGTCAGCAGAAGAGATTTCTAGGATGTAGTATGAAAACCTGTGTTAGTTTTCTAGGGCTGTCGGGCCAAAGTGCCGCAAACTGAGTGGCTTTCAACAACAGAAATGTATTCTCTCAAAGCTCTGCAGCCCAGGAGTTCAAAATCAGAGTGTCAGCAGAGGACTGAGACTCTGGGTCTCAGATCCTTCCTCTGACACTGAGTAGAATCTTTCCTCGTCCCCCCTAGCTTCTGGTGGGGGACGTCAATCCTCGGTGCTCTTTAGCTGGCAGCAACATCGTTCCAATCTCTGCCTTTGCTGTCACGTGGAGCTCTGTGTGTCTGTTTCTAACTTTCCTTCTCTTAATAAGCATATCAGTCTTGGGGCCCCGGGGGTGCTCAGCCAGTTGAGCATCCACTCTTGATTTCGGTTCAGGTCATGACCTCAGGGTCCTGAGGTAGAGAGCCCCTGTCACGTTCTGTGCTCAGCACACAGTCTGCTTGTCTCTCTCCTCCTGCTTCTCCCCCCGACTCTAAAATAAATAAAATCTTAAAAAAAAAAAAAGTAAACGAGTCTTATTGTTATAAAGGCCCACTCTGTTCCACTATGACTTCATCTTAACTAATTATATCTGGGAAAACCCTATTTCCAAATAAGGTCATATTCTGAGGCAATGGGGAATAGAATTTCAACATAAACTTTTTTTGGAAGACACAATTCAATCTATAACAAAAGCATTAACTGTGAAGGAAAAAACTGATATGTTTTACCACATTAGATAAAAAGTAAGCAATTAATTCCTTTCTTCTGTAAGATATGTCAACCAAAAATCATAAAAAAGAGATTAGAAGCTCTTTTTCCCATTTTTAATAATCTTGGTACTCCAAAACAAATGCAAATATTAGATAAACAAAAACTACATATTTCCATATGTCATTTTTATTGGAAAAGTAACATTTTAAAATTTTAATACAAAAATATAAAGTAAAAATTAATTTTCTCTTTCATATGTAGGGTTTTTTTTTTTTTAAAAAAAGATTCTATTCATGAGAAACACAGAGAGAGGGGCAGAGACACAGGCAGAGGGAGAAGCAGGCTCCCTGTGGGTACCCCGATGCAGGACTCGAACCCAGGACCCCAGGATCACATTGTGAACTGAAGGCAGATGGTCAACTGCTGAACCATGCAGGCATCCCCATTTTGAGGTTTTTATACTAAGAAACACTGCAGTCTTTTGCTTTGAGTTTTAAGTCTTCGTTTAAAAAGTCGTCTTCAGGGTTCCTCGCTAGCTTAGTCGTAGTGTGTGGCTCTTGTTCTTAGGGTTGTAAATCTGAACCCTATGTTGGGTGTAGAGATTATTTAAAAATTAAATCTTTAAAAAAGATTTTAAAAGTAAAAAATTAAAAAGCCTTCACTTTAATCTTCACTTTAAGATTACTTTTGAAGTTCCTCAGTTGTTTTGTTTTGTTTTGTTTTGTTTTTCTCAATATGAGGGATAAGGCAGCGGATGTTTTAAATTTTTTTCCCGTAAGATTAGGTATTCATTCACTCATTCATTTATTCACAAATATGTTGTGTGTGGGTGTTATGTTAAGGTACTGTCCCAGGTACTGAGGTTACAGATGTGAATGGCACTAAATGTTCCCTGGTATCACAGCGTTTATATCCTGGTGAGAGGAGGCAGGCTTTAAAAAACAGTAACAAGTAAGTCAATGTGTTAGTATGTAAGAACTTACCTATTACTGTAGAAAACAGAGTAAGAAGGGCCAGAAGTGCCAGGTGTCTGTAGCATGTTTAAATTTAAATTTGAAAAAGACCTAATTGGTCAGACACATTTAAATGAACATTTGAGCATACAGCCCCAATGTATAAATTATGCTGTGTTTAGGATGACAATTAAAAGAGATTAGACAAACGCTACAATTAATTCTTTTTTCTCCAACTGGTCAGATTAAACGATGAGATAAAATGTTTTGTGTCACAATTTTGGAAGATAAAAGCAATTTCTGTCCTTCTGGCGGAGGCAAATAAATGATAACAACCTTAGGCAGTTGTATACTAGGCAATGTTATTGGGCAGGGGAGGATGGGTAGGCGGGTTGGGGGGTAGGGGAATCAGATCTTTCTTAGGCTCTTTTCTGCTAATTTATTTGCGTTTGGCATTTCCACTTTCTCATTTCTTCTCCTGCTCCCATGAGACCAAATTCCCCGATTTCTGATTAAGCTGTTCACTGATTTTGTCCAAAAATATTATCAGTGCTTTTGGCCAGCTTGACTTCTGGTAGTGAAAATCACAAACCATTCAGAAATAGTTCCTTGTTCACTGAACAAAAATTTAGTTTGTGTGTGTTTTCTTTTTTTTTTAACAAAAGGATATTATTTTGAGTGGAATGTTCTTAATTCCACCAAATCCAGGTGTATGAGGTTACTCCTGTGAGGTCATGCACAATGCAAACTCCCTTTGCACATCGCGTATATCCACAGAGGTTACCTCCCAAGAGCATGACCTTTTAGTGATTCCCCGTTCTCTTTTACCTTCGGGAGTGTTGTTCCGTATGGTAACCTGGAAGCGACCAGAGCGATACACTACTTTAGAGATGGATCACTGGGCACCTGGGTGGCTCAGCTGGTTAAGTGTCCAATACTTGATCTCAGCTCAGGTCTTGATCTCAGAGTTGTGAATTCAAGCACGGTGTTGGGCTCCACGTTGGCTGTGGAGCCTACATAAAAAAGAGATGGATCATTAATCTTGCTTCTGGGTCTTTACAAGAGTAGATTATAAAGACAGCTGCTTACAGAATCTTCTAGGTTTCTGCTAGCAAGCTGATCCCTGGTGGCGCCTGGAAAGGTCTTCGGCAATTTCATTTTCTGAGAATGACTTGGTCATTTTCAGAGATGTTTGAGAAATGCGTGTTACTCTTTTGGTTGACGTGACTTTGCTCAGATGTCCTTGCTTTGTTGTGAATAAAGAATACAGTTTTTTTTCTTTGCAGCGTATTTAGCCAATTAAAAAGGCCCCGAAAAAACTGGCTTCTTGGTCCATGTCAATCAATTGCTCGTTAGATACAGAGACAAAAATTCTATCGTTTTCCTTAAGCTCAAATATCCCACCTTGATAGATGGAATAGAGTCCATATTCAGAATCTTTAGACCAACAACTATTTCTAGCACTTTTCATCAGCAGTATAGGGTCCGGATAACTCGTGTGTTTGTAAATATATTGGACCATTTGTTTGTTTCTCTTTCTGTTCTGTCCTGTTGGAATTTCCGCAGGTTCCTGAAATCGAAAGTATGTTTGGGAGTAGATGTAATAAAACCCCCTTTGATGGATAACCAGCTCTCCGTTCCTCAAGTGCAAGTTATTCAAGAATGAATGTCCTTTTCTCGTGGAATCCCAGGAGTTTATTTTGTGGCCCAAAGCTTTATCATTCTTGGAGCCTGGATGAAGTTTAGAAAGAAAGAAAGTTAAAAGAAAGAAGTTTGTAGCAAATGCAAAAATTATCTCAGTAGCTGTGGCTAGCCAATTTTTTGGTTGGGATTACAAAGAATTTCAATCTAATATAAATCTAATATAAATCCTTCAATCTTACAAGGATTCTAAATTTTAGTCTTATGGAAATCTGGAGGCTACTATATCACTGGGACATTTTGGAAGTCCCTTACTTTTCTGTACCTTATCCACCACTTATGCTACGTCTGTCACACTCAGCAATAAACAGTAGCATGGGGGATGATTAACTCGGATGACACTCTTTACTTCTGGGTAGAATTTCTATCCCAAACCCCTACCTCTCTTCCTATGCCGGTGAGTTCAAATGAGTAACATATAAGGAAACCAAAAGAAACATATATATTTCCTTAAGCCTAGAGCTCAGAAATTATTGCTATTTCTTTGGGTCTCTTTGGGTTCTTTCTTGGTCTTTCTCAGTAATCCAGAGTCAAAAGCACCATTCAAGCAGAAAGCACCTCTGGTCCTCCATAAGACAGGGTGCAAGGTTTGGCAAGGAGAGCCCAGATTTAAAGATCTTCAGACCCTTGGATCTTTAGCTTCCAAAGACTTTGAAAAAGGGCCCTACGAAAATATATCTCTTTAAACTTTGAGGTCATCTCCATGATTGGTGCAAAATTTAGTTTTTCAACAGCGTAAAGCAACTGTTGTGTGTCCTGATGAATAATACACAGTAACATTATAATGATCTCACTCTCAGGCACAACATGTCAATTATTCATAAACAGGGATCCCTGGGTGGCGCAGCGGTTTAGCGCCTGCCTTTGGCCCAGGGCGCGATCCTGGAGACCCGGGATCGAATCCCACGTCGGGCTCCCGGTGTATGGAGCCTGCTTCTCCCTCTGCCTGTGTCTCTGCCTCTCTCTCTCTCACTGTGTGCCTATCATAAATAAATAAAACAAAAAAAATTTTAAAAAAATTATTCATAAACATGAATTCAGGAATACCAGGAAGGCAACTGCCCAGAAAAAAAAAGAAAAGAAAAGAAAAAAAAATCCCACAATCTTTTCATATTTTAACTGATATCTGAAATTTCTTTAACTTGGGATAAAACCTTTCATAGTAATATAAGCAACTGTTTATTGAGTACTTACAACCACGGGAATTTTGCCTGTGTTAATCTTCAGTATTTTATGACTTAAAGATTGTCTCTACTTTGTATATGAAGAAATTGAAGCTTGATTTGATTAGGTAATTTGCTAAAAACCTATATCTAGGTAAGGAGGAGCTGGTATTCCAACATGGGTATTTGGACTCTAAAACTCTTGCACCGTTACAACACTGTGTGGACACTGATTCTTTAGTTAAGAAACAAACTTACCATATTTGGTGAAACTATATGAAGCTGACATTTCTGTGAACGAAAAATGGTCAAATATTGGCAGCTTCCCATAGTTTAACCAAATACAAATACCACAAAGAATACCTAGTGACTCATGGTGAAAGTGAATAACTGATTTAAAACCTTCGAAGAGGAAGATGATTTGATAAGAGTGAGGAAGAAAAACTACTTTGAGGAAGAAAAAGAAAAGCACAAATAGGGGCATGGAATACTCAAAGACAAAGTTCTCCCACCATATAATTTTCCTGAGAGCAGTTGTTGAGCTATTTGTCTTGTAATCTTGCTTCTGAAAAGAGTCAGTCTGAGCCCCGATTACCACTGAACATTTTGTAGAGAGCCACATAAACATTTCATGTACGAGTTAGAAGAATAAATTATTTGGAACAAATTTTTCCATTGCCTTCCTGTAAGCCATATATTTATTGTTTCTCTTACTTGGAATTGGAAACATGCTTCTCCGACTGGTTCCAGTTATGTGAGCGGCTACTCTCTGAGAACCTCGGTCGCTTAATACGTAAGGAATATTTAGCTGCTTTTCTAAAAGAAAAATGAGAAAGAATCGTCGGCACTAGCACTTGTCAAATAACTTTTCAAATACATTGCTATTGAGAGCTGCTGTCGGTGAGACTTGGAAGCCCAGTGTGCTTACAAGTTGATTATATGGGCTTTTGTAAAAACAGCCTACATTTTAATATGATGATCCGTCTATTTCAGCTTATGTTTCGAAAGTATTTGAGATGGGAAGAATGAGCAGTAACTTGGGTTAGAATTTATCAGCATCTCAAAGGTAAGGTCTAACCAGAATACAACAAAATGAAGATTCTGGTCCTTTTCCAAAACAGGCAAATACACAAATAAACAAATAACTGTGGACATGTAATAACTCTGCTGAGTCATTTAAAGTACACAAATAACCAAGTATTGGCAAATTTCCACTTTGAGTTATATATAGAGACAATCAGGGTGATCCTGATTCTAAAGGAGTAGCAGTGTTAACAGTGGTCCATAGATGCTACAAACTGGTATCCAACAGTCGTCCCCCTGCCCTCACCCGCCCTAAAAGAAATTTGAATTGGCATACAGGTCATGATAATCAGTAAATAAACATAAAAATCACGAATTCACTAGATCATAATAAATAATACTGATCACATTCTGATTTACTTCAGAGCAGCCTTTAAATATACAAATTCAACAAGCTACACTTTTAACAAAATTGGCTCAAACTTTCCAAATGTGCTCACACTAGTTAAGATAAATTACATTCTTTCATCAAGCAAATATTGCCAGGAGTGAGGCATTACACTCTGATGTACAGGGGTTGCAAAGGTTAATCACTGATTACACTGACTGAGCCCTCAAAGGACTTACAGTCTTCCAGGGAAGAGATGAACTAGAAAATGAAAATTTACTTGTGAGGAATATGAATAAAGGGTGATGAGTGTTCAGGAGAGGGAAAGATTCCTGTTTATTGGAGAACTGAGGTCAGCGGAGGGTTTGTGCTAATGCTTCCTCCAACAAACCAAAGTGCCCATCGATCTATGCCAGGCACTCTTTCAGGAGCAAGGAGAAAGGATGAGAAACAAAGGAATGCAAGTAAATATTTGAGGGTTCAAGGATAATGATCTGAACAGGATGAGGATGAGCAGACTTCGGGAAGCAAGGCATAGAAGACGGGCATTCTCAGAGACCTGGGAGAGAGGCCAGAGGTAGGATGCACAAAGCCTTCCTGGGACACAGGCATGAGAGGAGTTCAGGTTCAGGCTTGAACTCGGAGCCAAACTATAGAGGATCTGAATGTTAAGCTAAGAGATTTAGATTTTACAGGACATGGGAAGACTCTGAAAGATTGTGGTAGAGGAACTAAAGAGAGAACGTGCTGTGCTTTAGGCTGCCCTATCTCAAAATAAGGTTTGATGAGTAGAAGACACTAGCAAGTTACCAGACTATAACTGATCAGGACTGCAAACAGGGGGCCTTAACCTAGATGTAGTAGAGGGAACTGAAAGGAGGTGGCAAAATTTCACAGGAAGGGAATGAACGGGAAGTGAGACTCTCTTCCATCTATCTGGTATCCGTTGCTGCTTATTCAGGATGCGTGGGCATTTGTAGAGTCTTTAAGACCAAATATTCCATGGGGATGCATGACCCTCCGAGTGCTCAGCTTGCAAGGTTCATGCGTCCATTCACCTTTAGCTCCCACTGTTAAAGAATCCTGGGTGGCTCAGCAGTTGAGCGCCTGCCTTTGTCTCAAGGCGTGATCCTGGATTCCCAGGTTTGAGTCCCACATCAGCACACTCACCACATCAGGCTTATTGCACGCAGCTTCTCTGCCTGTGTCTCTGCCTCTCTCTCTCTCTCTCTCTCTCTCTCTCATGAATAAATAAAAATAAAATCTTTAAATTTTTTTTTGAATTTTATTTATGATAGTCACAGAGAGAGAGAGAGAGAGAGAGAGAGAGAGAGAGAGGCAGAGACACAGGCAGAGGGAGAAGCAGGCTCCATGCACCGGGAGCCCGACGTGGGATTCGATCCCGGGTCTCCAGGATCACGCCCTGGGCCAAAGGCAGGCGCCAAACCGCTGCGCCACCCAGGGATCCCAAAAGTAAAATCTTTAAAAAAAAAAAAAAAGAATCCATCATGACTTGCCCGCCCTTAGACCTTAACATCTTGTTTTAAAATATTCAACAACTGAAATCAATTATAAATATTTTATATTTGAGGTCATCACGAGGACACAGGAAAGGCTAAATATAAAAGCAAATGCTAATGAGGATATATAAATAAATAAATAAATAATAAATAATAAATAAATAAATAAATAAATAAAAGACTTTTTTTTTTAGGTAGGAGATTTCTTTCTGGCTATTGCAAACACTTCGTGGAAAAGAAACACATGAATATGTCTATTTGAGTGTCGTGAATACATGTTGGTATACTGATTAGTAAGTGATTTCTACATCTTACTGCGATGAACAGAAAAGAGTACTTTTCTCACAACACTGAAAATTGTACATGCATCTACTGTGGACCATGGATCTGTTGTGCCTCATCCGAAGAGGGGGAGTGTTCACTGCTCTGACTACCACTTTTGCTTTTGGGGAAACAATGAGGAAAAAATGCTGAGACCCCGGGAACAGGTCTTATCCTTCATGTTTAATAAAGCCTATTTAATAAAGAAAAAATGGGAGTTGTTGAGTAATGAGGAAGCTTGTCGTATTGAAAAAGGATAGTTGAAAAGTAGAAAGGCATCGTTGGAACACTTAGATTAAAGAGCTGTTTCTCCTCTGCCAGGCTGCTGTGCCCTAGGATGCCAGTCTCTGGTATATGTATTCAGGCCTCTATGGCCATCAATATGGGAATATGGGGCTACAGTGAGCCAAATGTGAATAAGTAGCAAATTTTATTCAATAGTTTTATTTACTTATGTCTTCATTTAAAAATATGTGTTAAGAACCTTCTGTGTGGAGAGAGATGGTGGTGGCACAATGTTGTGACTGCACTAGCTGCCACTAAATTGGGCACTTCAGTACAGTTAATCATGATGTTTTCGAAGGCAGTGCAGTGGGAGGGTCCTGAGTTCACATCCTCCCGGGGACACGCCAGGGCTACAACTACACACAGAGTGATTCTCTCTGAGAAGGACCTGAAGACTAGCAGCGCAGTGATTCCACAGCTAAAGAAATAACGAAAAAGCCACATGGAGGAGAGTTGAAAGGGGCAGAGACAAGGTCTGGTCAGGTCCCACACGCAAGGTGAGGTGATCTCTGAGTGGAGGGGGGATACGTGGGCGTGGAATTCCCCCCAGGGAGCAAGGGGTTCGAGTCCCACATGGGCCACTGCCCCCTGCCCGAGGACCTGCAGGGGCAACACAAGCTCTCACAATGTCCAGCTTTGAAAATCAATGGGGTTCACCCCCAGGAGAGCCACAGCGCTATTGGTAACCCAGACTCTGCTTTTAAAGGGCTTTTGCGCAGACTCACTCACTCCAAGACCTGGCACAAAGGCAGTGGTTTCAGAAGTGTCTGGGCCATTATGTGGAGGAGATTTATTGACTAATTTTAGGGCATGTGATAGAGGGGCAGTGATCTAGAGGAACTTTCTTTGGAAACAGAGGGGCTGGCAGCCTTTTTTTTTCTTGCCCTCCTTCAGTCTAGCTGCCTGATGCACAGGCTGGTTCCAGTTTTGACTCTCTCCAGCACCTTGCTAGCACCACTGGCCTCACCTTGGCATTGCCCTGTGGCCCTGCCCCACCCAATCTGCCTATCCTGGTACAAGCTTCTCTAAGGCAGCTCAGCTGGGATCAGTGTCACCCCAAAGCTGCTCCTGCCCTGCCATGCCCCAGGGGGCTCCTGTGGGTGCTGAGACCAGCACCCCTCCAAAGTGGCTCCTGACCCAGAGCAGGCTGTCCCACCCAGCAGGGCACCCACAGCAGCCGTAGCTGGGACTTAGCCAGCCAGACCCAGGGCCAGCCATGCCCACCAGCAGTTGTGGCCTGCTCACAATAGGAAGGCACACAGACCCCACATAGTACCTGAAGTACCTAGTTCTGGTGGCCAAAGGGGATTGCACTTCTGGGCCCCACAGGACACCTTCTACCTAACGCCATTCCTTCATGAAAAGATGCTCAGCATCACTCATCATCAGGGGCAGACAGGCAAGTCAAAACCATGATGAGATATCCCCTCACACCTGTCAGAATGGCTAATAACAAAGAAAACAAGCAACGATGAGTGTTGGTGAGGATGTGGAGAAAAGGGAACCCTCCCGCACTGCTGGTAGGAATGTAAACCGATGCAGCCACGATGGAACATGGTATGGAAATTCCTCAAAAAATTAAAAATAGAAAAACTATACAATCCAGGAATTCCACTTCTGGATATTTAACCCAAGGAAATGAGAGTGAAATCACTATCTTGAAGAGATCTATGCACCCCGCCCCATGTTCTTGCAGTGTTATTTACAACAGTCCGGGCATGGAAGCAACCCAAGGGTCCATCAAGAGATGAATGCATAAAGAAGCTGTGGTACATATACCCAGTGGAGTATTAGCCATAAAAGACAATGAAGTCTAGACATTTGAGACAACATGGATGGAGCTGGAGGGTATTATGCCAAGGGAGAGAAGTCAGAAGATAAAAACAAATATTGTAAGATTTCACTTACGTGTGGAACTTGAGAACGAACAAAACAAGACAAACAGCTTCATAAATACAGAGAACAAATTGGTGGTTGCCAGAAGGGTTGGGGAGACGGGGGAGATAGGTGAAGGGGACTAAGAGGTGCAAACTTCCAGTCTTAAATAAGTTACAGTGATATAAAATACAGTATAGGGAAGACAGCCAATAATATTGTGATGACTCTGTGTGGTGCCAGGTAGTGACTGCAGTTAACTGTAGTGAGCATTTTGTAATGTACGTACGCGTCAAATCACTATGGTGTACACCTAAAACTAATATGACACTGTGTGTCGTAGGTACTTCAACGAAAAAACAAAATGAGAATGATGCCTCAAAAAACAGTTTCTTGTATGTTACATGAATTTCACCCCAACCAAAATGCACACACACACACACACACACACACACACACAAGTTGGTACACCTAAGGGCCAGGGGGATAAAAGAATCTACTAGGTGTGGAGCGTCAAGTGAGGTGCTATTATAGACAGACGAGAGAAATAGACGTGTTCCGTCCCTGCGGATCTTTAACCTAGTAGGGAAGCAGAGAGCACACAGATTTTTAAAAAAATTTATAAAACTAGAAGGAAATGAACAAGATAAGTGTGATAGAAATAGCAGGGGGCGGGTGAACTTACTCAGAAAAACTGCCTTTGGGAAGTTTTCTCCAAAGAGGTAAAATGAGGTGATAGGATGAGAAACGAGAAGGCGCCAGCTGGGGCTGTAGGCCTCAAAGGGGAAATGGGCCAGAAGCAGGCTGCCGAGCACGAACAGGAAGGTGGTCATGGCTGAGGGACCACAAGATGAGAATTGAGGGCGGGTACGGGGTTGTTGGAAAAGATGACCCAGTGAGGGCTCTTGCGTGAAGACAGCCATGGAGCCCAGAGGTTGTCAGAAGCAGAGGGGATGGGTTGCGTTGGGGCCCCCCAGCCACGTCCCAGAAAGGATGTAGATGACTTATGTATAGAGTAAAAAATAAATAACCGAAGACATTGAGGTGAAAGGAAAATCCACGGTGCGAAAACAAGATTCGGATGAAATCAAGCCTTGACCACCGGTGGGGCCCCAGATTTGGCTCTGAGCCGACTACCTGCCCAGAGGAAATAGGAAAACAGAATCAAGTGTCTTGAGACAGGGAGTCGCAGTGTGAGGGGGACGCGTAGATGGGGGCAGAGAGGAAGGGGCTGGAGAGCCGTTCACCTTGTCAGGAGGTTGGGAGTAGAAAACTAAAATAGCAACAAAAAAGAATACTACCTGGAGCTGTAGGAATGGTTTCCTCATAGGTTTTCAAAATCATCTGCAAACAGTATTGAATAAAGCTTGTTAATTTTCCTAAAAATGTAAACTCACTACAGAAGGTCTACGGCCCCTCTTGCTGATGTCTGGGAGGAAACTTCCAGCTAAGATATGAAACTCAAGGGCGGCCCCCAGTTTAGGGTTGACTTCAGCCCAGGGCCTGATCCTGGGGTCCTGGGATCGAGTCCTGTGTCAATCCCCGCAGGGAGCCTGCTTCTCCCTCTGCCTGTGTCTCTGCCTCTCTCTCTCTCAATCTCTCTCTCTCTCTCTGTGTCTCTAATAAATAAATAAAATCTTTAAAAAAAATAAAAAGAAAAGAAAAGAGATATGAACCTCGGGTTGGCGTGGGATGGGGGCAGCTGGGGTGAGCACGGAGCAGCGGCAGCTGCGGAAAGTTCTGCTCATGGATGGGGATGGCATCTTCGAGAGGCCACAGCTGGAGCCACACAGGAGGAAGGTGCCAGCTGGCAAGCTAGGTGAGGCCTTTACGAAACCACCAGTGTCGCCTTCTTCGTGCTAACTGGTGGGGAAGACCAGTAAGGAAGAGTGAACCCTTCGCCTTCCTGTTAGATGAGCTACTGCTGAGCCAGGCCATGGCTTCTAAAGTCCCCTGCACTGGCTTCTGTCCCTGGGCCTTTGTCCGTCCCGCCTTCCTTTCCCACCCCTGTTGTTGACTTTGAAATGGCCAGAAACTCCCCTCCCCGTGCCCTCCCCCCGATCAGAGGCCAGCTGCTTTCCCCTCGTTGGTCTCAGGTCCTGACCCGGTAAGGGAGGGTCTTTTTGTTTTTGAAGATTTTATTTATTTATTCCTGAGAGACACACAGAGAGAGGCAGAGACCCAGGCAGAGGGAGAAGCAGGCTCCCTGTGGGGAGCCCGAGGCGGGACTCGATCCTGGGACCCCAGGGTCATGCCCTGGGCCGAAGGCAGGTGCTCAACCCCTGAGCCCCCCGGGTGCCCCAAGGGAGGGTCTGCTTCTAGCACAATGGATGCTGGACTCTGGGGAGGGCAGGGGACAGGTGGCCTCAGCATTGTTGCTCTGTCTCTCACTCTGGGACTCGAGGAAGGAAGGAGGAGGAGGAGGAGGAGGAGGAGGAGGAGGAGGAGCAGGACAGAGGCCAGGCCTATTTCTAGTGTGGGGAGCAGAATAAAGGAGTGAGGGTGGCCTGGGCGGATGGGCCAGTTCCAACTCTGTCAACCACTAGCTCTGGGAGACTCCACTCCATGTACTTAATGGATGTGAACTTTAATTTCTTCATCTATTTTTTTTTTTTAAAGAGGCAGGTGAGGCGCCTGGGTGGCCCAGCCGGTTGCACATCTGACTCTTGATTTCGGCTCAGGTCATAATCTCAGGGTCATGGGGTCCAGCTGGGAGTCGGACTCCACGCTCAGCGGGGAGCCTGCTGGAGATTTTCTCTGTCCCTCTGCCCCCTCAGAGTGCTCTCTTTCGCTCACAAATCAATCCATCTTTTTTCTTTTTTTTTAAAGAGGAAGATAAGAATGATTCTTCCCTCAGAGCTGTGATGAGGGCTACATGAGATGCCATCTGTAATGGGCATTTACTGGAAAGAGCCTGTTCCATTCGTGGTGCTGGAACACAAGGGAAACCTTCCCCCCCACGCTCCCATCCCCCTATCTGCATCCCACCCCCCCATCTACACCCCCCTATCTGCATCCTCTCCCAGCTTATCGGCAGGATGTGAGAACAGGAGGGAGGGAGAGAAGAGCAGGGGAGAGGCGTGTGAAATCTATCCCCACTACCTCTCTAGCCCCCCACTCCCAGCCCCGGCGTCTACCCACCCTCTCAGGCTCCAGATTTCTGCCCTAGTTCTGAGTTTCCCTCCCCTGCCACCCATGGCTTTGTTCCCACCAGCCCCAGTCTTTAAAACACGCCTCCTCCCCACCCTGGGAATGTCCCCAGTATTTTTTTTTTTTAAACAATGATGTCATGTCACAGTTTTCAGGATATTTTCATACCCACATCCTTATCTGACCTTTCTGGAGGCGGAAGATAAAACTATGAGGGAAAAATCATGTAATTTGGTGAAATACACTGTGAGCTAACATTGTGTTTCTGCGAGGGATCCTGTTCAAGCAGCTTCCATAAACAGGTATTTCATAATCGGCCATTAATTGACCATAAATTGAGATGTCATCACCTTCGGTTCCTCAGAGTATCTCTCTCTTCCCTCTCCCTTTCCTCTTTCTTCATGTGCATACAAAAATAAATATATGTTTAATTCCAGAGATCAATAAGGTTGAAAGAACATAAAACACCATTATTGGCCTTCTTCTGTCTTCTGAACGCCAACGCCAACAACATCAACAAAATCTCACACGTGTTTTATTGTCGTGTGGCCTTGAGCTCATTGCCCTGTCTGTGCCTGAATTTCCACAATGGGAGACAAAAAGGTTAGACTAGATGGGGAGGCCCTCTGGAGTGGAGGAGTGAGCTCTAGACCAGGAGTCAGCCGGGACCCACTGCGTGGTGCTGTTCCACTCTCTCCTAGTTCTATGAATTTGGGGGGAAATCACTTAAACACTCCGGGCCTCAGTGTCCTCCTTGGCCCAATGAGGCATCTACACTTGAGGATCTTAACTGCGACCTTCCACGCCACCTGGTGAAGTGACCAGTAGTCCACCTACCTTTCTAACAAACTGGCGGAGTTGCCACTTCACTTGCCAGCAGGGGTTGTTCATACTCTCTTCATCACTGGGGTCCCAGGGGATATCATCTTCCTTTAAGAAACAAGCGATGCCACTTTGGGAGTACTTGTCCTGCATCTGGGTTAAGATGGAATATAATAACACAATATTACGCACAAGGGCTTTTTATTTAAGCAACAGGAGCTGATGACAGGTTCATAGAAGCCTTGGCACCTTGGATAAACCCACGGCTTGAAATAAAAGTAAGCAATGTCCTTTGTCTGGTGAGTAAAAAAAAGTAAGCAGTTGGATTTGGTGGGAAGGACACAGGTGCAGGCCACACATCCTGGGTCACAATGCCCCTCACTGCCTCTGTGTGTCCCTCAAGAAATTGCTTCTTCTCTTGTGTTTCTATTTTGCATTTGATTTTTGAGCTGGTTCATCGTGGTGATCTTTGAGCTTCTTCCCAGCTCAAAGATGATTGAGATCCCATTCTAAAGTTGGGAAACCACCTAGGTACAAAGCGGGCAAAAGAGGGTCCCCTGGGTGGCTCAGTCTGTTAGGCGTCCGACTCTTGATTTCGGCTCAGGTCATGATCTGAGGGCTGTGAGATTGAGCCCTGGGTTAGGAGCTCAGTGTGAAGCCTACTTCAGATCCTCTCTCCCTCTCCCTCTCCCTCTCCCTCTCCCTCTCCCTCCCTCTGCCCTTCCTGCTCACACTCACACCTGCATGCGCGCTCTCTCTCTCTTTAAAAAAAAAAAAAAGACAATAGAGTCCATTTAAATTCCAGGATCCTAAATAAAAAATTTAAAAGATTGTTTGGGGCCTTTGGGGTGCAGGTAAAGTTGTGTTTCTTGATATGAGCTTTGGCTATTGAGTGAATTCTAGGCATTGCTGTGATTTCTACTCCTCAAAACATATTGCCACTGGAAACCCTAACTTTTTAAAAATTAAATGTCCACACTGGGTAGGGATTTACTTGCAGAGACTTGAAATACCATTTGAAGGCAAACATTTATAATGGCAGGTAATTGTCAACAAAGTCCTAGCTTGTAATTAAACACACAAACATACACAGATGTACACACACACACACAGATGCATGTACACATATGTCCCAAGCCATCCAGCACACTCCAGGCTGATATCCAGTTAATATTACAAAGAGAAACAGGAAGCCCATGCAAGGTCAGACATTTGGTTGACCATTTGGTTGTTTTTTTTTTTTTTTTCCTGTTTTTGTTTTTAACAATGGGGACCAAGGAGATGTTGTTTCCCTGTACAAATGTAAATTGCCTTTCCCTGGGAAATAAATGGGAAGATGGCCATTTTTATCTGTTTGAACTTTGGGGACTCCAAAGCTTGAAGGAAAGATCAAACTTAATGATGTTCCTTCCTATAAAAAGACAATCTCGTTCCAAATCAAAATAACTTGTTTATGAGGGGTCCCAGCCAGGGTCACATTGTTCTGTGCCCAGTCATGGATGTACCCCCTAGACATTGCATCAAGGTCCTTCAAGTGCAAAAGTACAAACCTGAATCGCTGAATTCCTTCCACATACTCCAGCATAAACATTCATTTACTTTTAAATAAATGTTTACTTTCTTTCTTCCTGTTTTAAATCACAAGAGTAAAACATTCAACCTAGTAGATGTACTAGAGGTGACAGCTGGGGCCACCTGAATAGAGATGTGACCAGCAGTGGAGTTAGACAACATTGCTGCCTAGAGACACTGATGGTCTACAGGCAACCTGCAAAATACAGAAATACAGAAAAGTAAAGAACACGTTTCTAAATGAAAAATAAACCCAAAAGCCACTAAAATCACCCTAATCCTACTTCTTCATTAACCTCTGGATGCTGTCTCTTCTTTGCAGGGTTGTATGTGGGCCGTTTGGGGTATGATTGTTTTCAGACTATATGAAAATATCATGTTCCTTAAGTCTGCACAAAACATCATACAGAGAGAGCATAGATATTTTTCTGGCATTCACTGTAGAAAATTCTAAAGTATAAAAAAAATAAAAAGGAAAAAAGACATCCTGGATCATACCATCCAGAGACCACAATTATCAACATTTCGGGGTTTCACCTTCCAGATATTTTATGTATAAATACTGATTTCTGAACAACAGAAACCCAGAGGGAGGGCTCCCACCATCCTCCCTATATCCCCACACGTTTCTCACATTATCACATTTGGTGGCTTCTTCTGCAGACATTGGCCGGTGCTGGTGACTAGCTGCATGAGTGAGGGGGTACTGTGGTCCAGAGTGATTCATGATGACTACCGTGATGCATCTCTCTCTCTCCCCTTCTTCTCCGCATCCTTTCCACGTCAGAGCATGACTTTTCTGAAGCACACTCAGGCCAGAGCTATTCTCTCATTAACATCTGGGTGTTGGAGGCAGAGGGATGTGCGTGCTATTTCATTCGCGTGCCACCAGACAGCTTCTGCATGGGCGTCTGCTCTTCCGACCGGTGAATTTCCACCATGAGGGCTGTCGGTGCCGCTGTGACCCCGGCGCTGGTCCAGGCCCGGGCCAGCCAGTCCCGGGCGTCTACTTGCATCTCCAAAAAATGTGGGAGCTAAAAAGCATTGTTAGGCCTGCAGGGTGGAGTCCTTTGCCAGCTGGCTCAGAGGCTTCAAGGTGGCAGCACTGGCCCCCCCTGCTGCCCTGACATTGGTCTCTGACAATCATTTTCTGCAAGCCACAAATAGCATAAAGAACCGTTTATGGAGATCGGCGGATAAGGGTCCCCTTCTCCTTTGCCCGTCCCGTCTATGATGCCACAGCGACAGGCAGTCCCCTTGGCATAAAATGTTCTCAAGAAACGTAAACGTTAGAGGCTAAGCACGGATTTCTCATGCGGGCCTGCTGGTCTACAGGCATATCTGTGAAGGTCCCATCAGGGGTAACTCAGCCCTCCTTCAGCCACACTCCCTATAGTCCTTGCTCAGTCTGTCTTCTGGAAAGTTTCATCAGCCAAAGTGGGATCTGGGGTCTGTTTTAGGAAATTAACGCTTTTGTGAAATGTGCTTTTCCTAATTCTCCACAGACAGCCAAAGAGACTCAGATTCCTATTTCCTTGCGAGCGTTCCCGACGAAGAGGGCCACAACTTCCAAGGACGTCGCAATACTAATTACAACGGCCGCAGTTAGTTGAGCACCTACTTAATGCCAGGGCTCAAAAATTGGGCTATCCCCTTAAACCTGTTTCATCATCTTGGGCAAATCACCTAACTCCCTGGCCTCATTTACCTGCAAAATGGGATAATTCCGTTTACATGATTGTTATGAGGATCAAATCGAGGAGTATTTTTGCCAAGCTTCTGGAACACGGTATTTGCTCGGTATCCATCAGTTTGCCTCCCCTTGCAGCACTCTCAACGAGTTCTCCCACATGCCTATACACACATGCATACACACGTGTCTACACGGTCAAGAAAAATGTAGGCACGTGGGGAGCTGGTAAGCTTGATTGGCAATTTCCATTTTGATAGTCAAATTCAAGAACACACTTGATCATAGACACAGAGAAGTGCAGGAGCCTGCTCAGTCAGGAACTAGTTAACTCAGTCCTAAAATTAGGCCAATGTGTAATGTCAGCAAATTGAGGGGAATGACTTGCGTAATCGAGACAGACTCGTTTTGTTTATGCTGCAAAGTTCGCCAGGGTTAGGGAAGGCCAGCTCCAAACTCAACAAACACAGCAGTAGTCCAGCCTCTCAGGTAGGCTTAGAGCTAGAGGCATGTTTGTAGCTGTGCCGCCGTCTCAGCTACCAATACCCAGGCTCTTCTGAACATGCTCTGGAGCGAAGCTGGCTTTACTTGTCTATCAGCTGGCAGCCCATCCTTTTTAGAATTATTTGCAAGTCAAACAAGAGTCTACTTCCTCCAAATCCAGAGGGAAGATTTGCAAGATTTGGGATGACCAAAGTTCTACTCTGCAGGGTATACAGAGTGCATTTCCTTTCCAGACACTCATTCTCTGGCATTTGGATAATTGGTATTTCTCTGAGCCCCTCTACCTGCATTTCCTAGCCAGCTGGCAGATGCAGCGTTGCCTTATCATAACGGGGCAGGATGCGGTGCGCATCACGGGGTACAAATCTGTTAACTCTGTGGTCACCCTGTTGCGAGGGGGGAGTGTGACTCAAGGTGTCACACCGCCTGAGCTCAGACCAGCTCAGCTCTACTTCAGTCTGTGTCTCTCCTGAACAAATACATAAAATCTTAAAAAAGAAAAAAAGTCCTGTCTGAGCTTTTGTCATTCTGTCTGGGGGTCTCTAGTCTCCTCACCTATAAAACGGGGGGGGGGGGCATTCCTTCCAGCTCCCAGTTCTCTACTAGGTGATACACAATTAGTCAAAGTATACCTTAGAAGCCAAAAGCTGGCTTGGTTCATTTTCAGCAATTTTGCATTCACAGTTCCAAAAGTCGTATGCAGATGAGAAATACATGAACTAGCACAGCACTGAGTTGTGGTTTTCTTCCCCCCCTGTCAAATGTACCTGGATTCGTAATTCGTACCCCCCTCCTGCCCTGGACGTAGAAAGAACAATCACTTTATTCTTAATGATTTTATCATGAACATAACATGCTGAGTGCACACGGTAACAGGCTGCATGACAGACTTTAGGCGTGACGTGTCTTCGGCCAAGCAAGAGACGATACCGGTCCTCTGCGGCCTCGCTGCTGTCGACATGCACATGCGACACGGCCGAGACCAGAACCTGCTTCAAAGCTCTGACCTGCCCCCTCGCCCCAGGTCTTGGAGGAGAGAGAGAAACCGGACGACATTCCAGGACTTGGTTCAAGGGCTAACGTGAACAAATGCAGCTCTTGTGGAAGGGAAGACCAGGGAGAGCCAAGCCCTCGGGGGTCGGGCTCCTGCCTCTGCGGGCAGCTGGTGCCCGGGGTCTGTAACCCACCTCGGTTCTCCCGTCCTTCCCACCCCGCCGTCCGCAGGCAGGCTCCTGGGGAAGCCCAGGCGGGAGCAGCCAGGGTCCCCAGGCGGAGGCGGGCCACAGTTTCCTACCGGGAGTGTCACAGAGGGGGCCTGGGGGCAGCGAAGCCGGGGCGTGCGGTACTGACCTGCTTCAGCTCCCTGGTGAAGTACATGTAGGTGACGGCCACGCAGAGGGACTGGAGCAGCACAGTGAAGATGAGGATCAGCACGCACGTCTGCCCGAGGCTGGGGCCCCCCGGGGCCTGCATCTCGCTGCCCCCGCCGTCCTGTCCCCGGTCCCCGCGTCTGTGCCTGCAGCCAGGCAGCAGGTTGTTGCTGCGGGCCAGGCACCGCCAGGGGTGGAGCCCTTCTTGGATTTCATCTATTTAAAAAAAGGAATGAAAACGAAAGTGAAAACCACAGGCTGGGCGGAGGGAAACTCGGGCAGCTCTCCACCCTGCAGTCTGGGGGGCCCAGGGGCCCAGCCTGCATCTGGGAGGGCTGGCCCGGGGCTCCCCGCCCCGCTGCTCCTGGGAGGTGCCGCGGGCCACCCCAGTGTCACCTCCCAGCCCCGGGGAGCCAGACCACATGTCTGACCACAGGCCCAGGGCGCTCTGGTCCGGAGAGGCAGGTGGCACCGGGGAAGAGCTTCCTCTGTCGTCCCTCCAGGTCCCTCCCTGGCCCCCAGCCCGCCTGGCTGGTGTCTTTGGAGGGGGCTGCATGGGGTAGGGCTCAGCAAACCTCCTCAGAGGCTCCCACTGCCTGGGGGGGTGGGGGTGGCTCTGCTGCTTCCCGGTGGGTCACCCGGCCTCATCCTCAAGCCTGAGCATCCGGGAGCTGGGAGGACGCGAAGTGGTGCTGGTGGATGCGATGCAGCAGGTGGATGACGCCTGGCTTCCCGGGGCTCGGCGGCTAGAGGCCGGAACCCCTGGCCACGGCCCCGGCGGCAGGGCTCACAAGCTCGGAGCAGGGCCGCTCACCCCCAAGTCCTGCTGGGCCCTAAGGGAGGTCCTATTGACAAGTGAGATGGGAGTTCCGAGAACTGTCACCCAGAAAGACCGAGGAGGCGAGCTGAGTGGTTTAGACGAGGCTGCAGTCGTGGCCAAGGATGAGCGAGCGAAGAAATGGGAAGCGCCCCCCGGTCTCCGGCACCGCACCCCCAGTTATGTCCACAACCGGCGCTTCCAGCCTTACCTGGCCTGTTGTTCCCATATATTCAAGTCCATCCATCTCAAAGCTATGGCTTGAGGAGTTTGGGTGACGTGTGCAAGGTGCAACCACCACCACGATCGAGGTATAGCTCAGGTCACTTTGCTTTGAAAACTCATCCCCCTTTGCCCTGAGTTCCGTGTCGAGACACTCCCTTGAGTTCTGTGGCCGTCGCTGATACTGACCCTCTGGGTGGCTTCTCAGAAGGTTCGGTGCCTCTCCGGGGGCTTCTGCTCCTGCGAAATAAGACCAGTTGGGACAGGTTCGTACCTGGGGGCTCTTCCCGGACGTTCAGAAAACAGGCAGGTGGCACGTGGGCAGGAATCACAACGCTGCCCCCCAGTTCTCGAGTGGACCCCGAGGTAGCAGACACCAGGGGGTACAACCTGCAGTCGCGGGGCACCGGGGTGGCTCGGGGGTTGAGCGTCTGCCTTCGGCTCAGGTTCTGACCCCGGGGTCGTGGGATCCAGTCCCACATCGGGCTCCTACATGGAGCCTGCTTCTCCCTCTGCCTGTGTCTCTGCCTCTCTCTCTCTCTGCATGTCTTTTGTGAATAAATAAATAAAAATCTTAAAAAAAAAAAAACCAAACCTGTAGTTGCTTCATGCAGACCAAGTTCGCATTTGCTCTCTTGATGCTGTGTCTTGATGTATTTGCATATGTAGGTATCGTTATTGGCATATATTGTGAAATAATGACCACAAGGAGTCTAATTACAGTTCATCCCCATATGGAGGTGCAAAATTTTGCATGTGTGATGGGAATTTTTACGAGTTACTCTCTTAGCAACTTTCAAGCACATAACTGTCACTAACTGTAGCCGCCATGCTGTTCGTTGCATCCCCAGATCTTATTTATCTTATAACTGGAAGTTTGTGTCTTTGGACGACCTTCACTCATCTTACCCACCCCTCCCTCTGGCAACCTCAGCCACCTATCTGCTACTGGTGTCTGTGAGTTCAGGTTTTTCCTGTTCTTTGTTTGTTTGTTTTGCTTTGCTTCTAAGATTCCACTTATGAGTGAGATCATACAGTATTTGTCTTTCTCTGTCTGGCTTATTTCCCTTAGCATAATACCTTCCAGGTCCACCTGTGCTGTTGCAAACCGACAGGCCTTCCGTCCTTTTTACAGGTGAGTAATATTCCATTGTGCATATATACCATCTTTTCTTTATCCATTTATCCGCTGACACTTTGGTTATTTCAGTATCTGGGCTATTGTAGATAATGCTGCAATGAACGTGGGGGTACGTGTTTCTTTCAAGACAATGAAAATTTCCAGTGGTGACCTCTTTGTACTTTCACACACACACGGTATGTGTGACAAATGAGCCCAGGCCCCAAATGTTCTGAGAGATAGTAACTTCATCATTTTGCCCGTGATTAACCTGTTTATTTTCATGAGGGCGTCATACTGAGAAGCAGGGTGGGTGGGTCCAAACGTTCATTCTCTCACTTTGACTACTGTGGTTTTCAACCCAGTACATAGTAAAACAGGCAGGAAGCCTTTAAAAGTGTGGCCTCTGGGTCCCAGTTCAGATGAACTGAGTCCGCAGCTGGTCTCCCCCACCCTCTTGCTGCACGGATGAAGCAGAGCCTGAAATCAGGCCGTGTGAAAGAAAGCAGGAGGACACAAATCAGGACCATTTTTCTGCCCCCGGAGTCTGGGCACCCTCTTCAGTCCTTACCTCCCTCCCACTGGCTCTCTTTCTCACTCCCCTTCTTTCCACAATCCCCTCAAGCTAAAGAGGGGGTGGGATTTTCTTTGATTTGTCCTGACGTATCCTCAACCTCCCATAGGCCTTCAAGCCTCATGGCCTAGATGCCATAGGTAGAAGGGCTGTGTTCTAAACTGTAAGGGAATTTATGTGACTCAAAATTTTCAGAATTACACTCTCCCTCCTCCTCTTTACCCCCACCCCACCCTTACCCCCACCCCTAGCCTTCTTCACTATCACCTTGTGTATACATGCACTTGCGTGCACACACACACTCGGGTCAGGCCAGGGAAGTAGGGAGCATTGACACACTGAGACAGGCAAAGGAGAAAAGCACGTCAATGTTTTTCCAAAATATTAACCCCCTCACATTCAGTGTGCGTTCCAGTCGTCCTTCTGCTGTTTTCTAGCTGTACCCCATGACCAAGTCACTCACGTTTTGGTGCTTTAGTTTCCTTACCAATCAAGCAATGGGATTTACTAAGGAGTCGTTAAGATCTCCAACAACCCTATCATTTATGATTCTATCGTCACCTGATCATACAAAGATAGAGGCTCATTTCTTCATCTGAAAGCAGTGTGTCCAAGACCTTTTCTGAAAAATCTTCAACGCGGATGAAACAGACACTATGACACCATCACCAGGGGTCACCTAACACTTTGCCTTATGTGGGGGTAGAAATGGGTGGTAGGTGGATGCAGTAGGTTTCATTACAGCTCCCAATTCTTTACCCCTCGCTCTGTATGTGCACTTCGCTATGTGCTGTGTAGTTCATCTAACTAGAGAATATATTTCCTACCTCACCGATGTTGGGCTTAGCGGTGGGACTTGGCCACCGGGATACTAGTATACCTAACATGAGAGGGCTTGAACTATAATTGCACTCTTGGTCTTGCTCTCTTGACTACTGTCATTTCCATAAGAAGACAAGCCCTGGGAGGTCCAAGGAGAATGAGAGAAGCATGGTGCTGGGCCAGACCCTGTCCACATTTTGGAGCGAAAATCCACTGAACTCAGCCTACATCAGCTGATTCTCAAGCAACCTATAGAGAAGTGAACAGGAAGAAGTCATTGTTGTTTTAATTCACTGCATTATTTGCCGCAGAGCATTATGTGGTTACAGATAACTGATAGAGCCCAGGACTGGGATTATTTAGGATACTTTCAGCTGTAATTAAGAGAACGCAGCTTAAGAGAATGTCAACGAAATTTTAATTGGGTCTTTAGTGTCAAGCAGCTGAAGCAAATTCAGACAAATTGAGTAAGAAAAAGCAATTTATTAAAAGGATTTTGGGTAGTTAGGATTGTAGCGGAGGTTCCTGGAAACTTAGACTTGAAGTTTTCAAATTCAGGAACAACATCAAAATCTACCCACGCATTCTGGTAGCAATATAACTGCTGCCACCACAGGCTAATCTACCGCTGGGGCCACCAACACTAGATATCAGACTCTACTAGAACTCATGACAATGCTATTTCTGGAAGTTGAGCAGAAATATTTAGCCTCTATTTCTGCTTCATGAAGCTTCATGAGTTACCATGAGATGCTGTACAAGCATTTGTGCCTTGCTCATACTACACCTTAACCACAAGGAAGTATGAGGTGAGTATCTGACATTTTTAGCTTCTGTGGTGAAAAGTGGGCGGTTCATAAAGTGAAGAACTCCTAACCTATACTAGGGTTTTGCATGCTGGCCGGCCAAAGTGAAAGATAAATGCCCATTTCAGCCCACGTATATGTATATGACATATCTGTCTCTGCCGTTGGTTCCCGGAACAGAGCTCCTTAAACTCTTCTAATTTTCTAAGTGATGAAAGCGCTAGGAGTACTTCTTGTTGTACTGAGATAACTCTAGGTAGGCTCCTGGAGGCTGCCAACCAGAAGACCAGACCATGATTAGAAGCTTAGGATTTTCAGCCCCAACCCCCATCCTCTAGAGAGGGGAAGGGGCTGGAAGTGGAATTAATACTTGATCATGTCTATGATCTATTTTGATCCCAATAGAACAGAGTTCGGTGAATCTCCAGGCTGGTGAACACATTCATACTGGCAGGGTGGTGTAGCCCAGCTCATGGGGACAGAAGCTCCTAAGCTCAGGACTCTGCCAGACTTCACCCCATGTATATCTTCATCTAGTTGTTCATTTGTATCCTTTATCACATCCCTTAATAAACTGGTAAATGTAAGTAATTGTTTCCCAGAGGTCTGTGAGCTGCTCTAGCAAATTAATCAAACCTGAGGAGGGGGTCTTAGGACCCTCTGATTTGTAGCCAAATCAACAGAAGTTATAGGAAACCTGGGAACCTACTACTTGCGATTGGCATCTAAAGTGGGGTGGGAGCAATCTTAAACCATGGGATCTGATGCAATCCCTGGGTAGATAGTGTCAGAATTGACTTGAATTGCAGGCTGATGTCATGGGGAATTGCTTCGTGTGGGGAACCCCCCCCCCCAATATGTGGTGGCCAGAAGTGTCAGAAGT